GCTCTTTCTGGAACCTTCTCCAACAGTCCCAGCAGGATCAGGGCTCCCCCAGCAAGCGTTCCCAGTGTAATCGTGGCCTGCTGTTCAGGGGGATGGTGAGGACATCAGGAGGGTCAGGAGTGCCCTCCCCCCACGAGGACCCGACTGAAGCCACATAAGCCTCCCCCCGTGGGTGACATATTCTTGGTCCTGTTGCCTTGCAGGACAGGAGATGGTTCTGACAGCGGTCCAAGGATCGCCACCTGACCACATCCAGGGGATTCTTCTTGGTCTCCATGAACTGGATCCCTCAGCAGCATTTGACGCCTTCTGGAAACTCTCTGGTTCTCTCACTCCCTCCCTGTTGCCCAGGACCCTCCTTCCTAAGGTCGGAACCCTCGGGACTTTGCCCTAAGCTCTCTTTGCGCCCCACTCAGCACATCCCCTGGGATGTCCACTCCCACATCCCACAGCACATCCCCTGGGATGTCCACTCCCACATCGTCCACTCCCACAGTGTCACCCTCCACGAAGGGACACGCCAGGGACTCCCCAGTCCAGACCCCAGCCCAGACTTTCCATAAGAGCAGCCAACAGTGAGCACCTACTGTGTGCCAAGATCAGCAAGCTGTGTGGATTATCTCATCCCGCCCTCCCAAGGCCCTGTGTGGACCAGGAACCTACCTGTGCAGAGGCCACGTACTTGTCAAAGGTCACGTCGTAAGTGGTCAGGCTGGGATTAAACCCAGGCGGTCCCCTGCAGCACCCTGACCATTGTGCAGAGGTCCACACAGAACACACAGAGCACACCTTGGTCAAGGACACGTCGAGGGTTCCTGCACCAACCCCCTCCAGGGGAGGGGCACCTGGCTGATCTGTGTACGTAAGACAGAGGCAAGTCTGCACATGCTCTCGGAGAGTACTGGAGGACGAGGGACAAATTGGGGATGGGCTGGACTGTCAGTGTGAGCCCACATGTCGTTCTCAGAGAGCCCAGCCCTGGGCTCACCACACACAGGACCACAGAGGCTCCGCAGGGCCGCCTTTGATGTCCCTGCGTCTGATCTCTGTGTGAATCTGTTGTCTCTGCAGGTGTCACGCTCAGCTGTTAGGCTCCACTGGTGTCTGGCTGACTGCTCCATTGTGTTGACAATGACCTGGGACATAAATGCTCCACATTCTAATCCAATTAAATCTGAGCTCTTTGGTGGGGTGGTTTTAAGGCCAGGCTATGAGGTTTGCTCTGACCCTACTGGAGCTCTTTGCATTAGTCTCTGTCCCCACTTCTCTCTGGTGGTAAAATCCAGCTGCCTGTGGCTTAACTTGTGCTCTTATGGAGCTGCCAGCCTCCTCTCATTCTCACCTCCACGGTGGAGCTGCCAGCTGCTTCCCACTACTCACCACCGAAATGCCCACAGTTCTTGAGAGCTCCCTTAGGATTGGACTTCCCTACGCTCTATTCTAAATAAAGTCAGTTGTCATGGAGAGAGCTTCAGAGCTGCCTATCCTTACGGCTTCCTCTCCCCTAGGGAAGATCTCAGACCCACCGTCCAGAGCTGGGGTTGTGGCATGACACCCCCACTTTATGAACAGGATGTTGGGTGGGGATGGCAGCTTCTGGCCTTCTCAGGCTGCCTCTCCTGGGAGGAACCTCCACTTTAGAGGCAAGCTGAAGAGACACTGATGGGGCCTCAGTATTCTCAGCATGCCATGCCTGGGGTAGAGCCCCCCAGCAAATACCAGTGAGGTCTGGCCGGGCGCAGGGAGCCCTGACATCTCAGCTGTTCATGACTAAAATTTAGTCTCTGTAACGTGGAGGTTGGGGTGGAGGGGATGAGAAATCCTGCCCCTCCCAGGGAAATACCGTATCAAGATTCCTTGTCTAGAAAGTGGAGAGACATGGCATCCCCTTGTCTGGGAGCTGGGAGAAGAGGGACACAAATGCACACACATATACACACATGCATACACACACACGTTCCCTGTGTGGGCCTGGCACCCAGGACCCTCCAGATCCTAGAAAAGAACTCATGAATAGGTGAAAATGTGAGGAAAGATTCAAATATGAAACTTGAGTAGACATTCCTCTTATTCCTGGATCCTAAGTTCTTGAACAGGGTGAATGTTGAATGCAGGTTTATTTCCCTTCCTGATGAGGTGAGTGGGGACCGGCACCTGGGTTCCCACCCCCCAGTCCTGTCCACAGCAGTGCGGCAGCTCCACGGCCCCCAGCCCTCAGGACCTCAGTGCAGGGAACTCCAGACTCTCCAAACACACACAGCACAAGGAGCATTTGTCTCAGTCAGAGTCCCAACCTCACCTCGGCCAGAAATGGTGCCCAGGGACTCCCACGCTAATAAATGTTTCTAGAAATAAGTGCACAAAGGACATCAGACTGCTGGACCGGCCCTAGAGACACCTTGCTCCCTGCACCCTCCGTCACTCACAGCCCACGTCCTTTGCTGGATCCTCTTCCCCACCCGCCTTCAATTGATACAAAGCAGGGCACAGGGGTGACACTTAGTGTGCCAGATGGAGGGAACCAGCCCTCTGCCATTGTGAGACTCAGCGACAAAATAAAGGAGTGAGACGAAGAGGAGGAGGTGTGAGACGTCCGGGAAAACCCAGGCAGAGGGAAGGGCAGAACTGGGGCTGGGGTCGGGGTGGGGTTCCCAGATGTCCTGGGGTCCCCACCCTGGTGGACACACACCCTCTCCGATTATTCAATCAAACTCTAACCAGGGCAACAGGATTTCTCAGATGTGATTAAGGTCTCAACTTTACTGGCTCTCAGATAGGGAGATTATCCTGGCGGGCTTACCGATCATATGACTCCCCCCGATAAATCCAAGTCTAGAGGTCAGAGGGGTCAACATGATGTACAGTCTCCTTTGCTGGCTTTGAAGATGGAGGGGGCCATGTAGCCAGGAACATGTGCAGGGCCTCTAGCAGCTAAGAGCAGCCCCACCGACAGCCACAGGAAATGGGGCCCTTAGCCCTTCAATGGGCCTTTGCCACACCCCGTGAGCCTGGGCGAGAACCCCGAGCTCCGGAAGACATCTTGGCTCCAGTCTGGAGAGACCCTGCACTGAGAACCAGCAAACCTGGACCCCAACTCCAGGCTGCAGAGCTGGACTACTTCCAGCCTTGAAGTCTGTGATATTTGTTACCCAGCAGTAGGTGCTGACACAGCATCCCTGTGCGTTCTTCACCCGACACATTCAGCAGCCCCGCTGCAGGTTCAAGGAGGCAAAGAACTGGGTTAGCCGTGCCCTGGTTTTGCCAATGAGCACAGTGAAAGACGAGAGGGCCAAGGGGCTGACAGAGCACGCAAAGGCATGGCCAAGAGTCCACTGACCAGGATTCAGGCTGGGCGGGGGGGAAGGCAGAGAGCCAGAGCTGGACGGAGCTGGCCTGGGGGTCTCTAAAGTTAGCATAGTGAAGAAACTGCACTGTAGAGCTAAGGGGGGTGGTCGGGTGGCCCGGTGCCTGGCCCAGGATTGCAAGGGTCACCACTGTTGGTAAGGATGGGGTCCACAGCCAAGAAGGGCCACTTGACGGCCATGTGCACACAGAAGTAGCCTCTTGGTGGGGGCCCAGCTTCTTATGGGAGCCAGGAAGTGAGGACTCTTGGGGAGGGGAAGGCACACACAGCATGTGCTCCAGAGGCCCTCAAACAGGGAGTGACCAGGGCAAGCCAGGGGCTGGGCTGCACACCCACCAAGGCAGCCACGCCCCCCAGGACATCATCTGAGAAGAGGACCAACATTTTAAAGGTTTGAGATGGTCTGAGACCCGCGAGCACTCTGACCCCGCACCCCGGCCTCCAGAGGCCACGTCATCTGGCAGACGTCCAGCGAAGATGACCAGCGGAGGCTCAGGTAGCGGGAGATGCGCTGGAGTCAGCGTGCGTTCACGTTCAGATCACAGACTTCTGGTCCTCGGCCGAAGCTGCCTCACGAAGCAGAAGTGCCAGGGGTTTCAGATTCTGTCCCTACACTGTGCCCCTACCCGCACCTCTGGGCACCTGGAGGGGACCAGCAGGCTCAGGGGACCACCACATATCTGGGCAGGAAGGGGGCGGGGCCTCTGAAGGACACAGGGACTGCCCTGCCAGGTTCTCTCCACGTCCACTCATAGCCATGGCCCACCTCTGGTCCCCAGCAAGACCATGCTGAAGCCAACAGCCCACATCCAAAAGCCTCGGCCCCAGAACTGGAACATGGACAAGGCCCAGCGAGAGGTCTGCGGACAAAGTGCCCCCACCAGCTGCTCCCAGGTCCCCAGGACCAGGTGGGGGTCTTGGCAAGCCCTAGGCGACCTTGAAATGCTGGAAGGATAGTCTCCCCTCCATCCTCAAAGCGCAGGGTGCCAGTGGGAAGCACAAAACCTCTTCAAGCTGGATGGGTAGATCCCTCCTGCCTGCCCACATTCCCCTGGTATGAAGCTCTCTTTGCCACTCTGAGCTCTGACATTCTGGAGCCTCAGGCACTCCCCATCTGTAAAATGGGCATGGGGGACTTGCCAGTTCTAAGAGGCCAGGTGGGGTCTCTGTGAATTCCCTGAAATAAAACTGGAAACCCCAGAAGTAGCATGACTCTTTACTCAGAGAAAGCACAGACATGGCAGACAGAGCTCAGCCAGAAGGAGAGCGCAGGGGACCCCACCCCGAGGCCATGCTCACAGCGGGGGGCCGTTAGGAAGGAGGCCCACCCAGTTCCAGTCCCTGGTGGTGGCCCCAGAAAGCAGGTCTCAGGCTGTGCTGTGGCTCCTCGGAACCCCCAACCCAACCCTCAGTCTTCCAGATCTCTAGGTGGGCTCCCTACCAAGAGGACTCAAAGCCTGCGAAGCGAGGACCTACAAAAACCCCCTCCCAATCTCTCTTCCCCCAACCCCCAGCGAGGTGGGAATAGGCACACCTTTCCAGGGCGGTGCCGGGGTGGGGCCAGGGCTGGGGGTGGAGTCAGAGTGGGAGGTGGGGCCAGGACTGGGGGTGGGGTCAGGACGGGGGTGGGGTCAGGGCTGGGGGTGGAGTCAGAGTGGGAGGTGGGGCCAGGACCGGGGGTGGGGTCAGGACTGGGCGTTGGGCCAGGGCTGGAGGTGGGGTCAGGGCCAGAGGTGGAGTCAGAGCCAAGGGGTGGAGTCAGGGCTGGGCTGGGGCCAGGGGTAGAGTCAGTTGGGAGGCAGGGTCTGGCCGGGACTGTAGATGGGGCACCACGGGACTCAGTGCTAGGAACCCCGAGGCCCCAGCCCAGCCTGGGACAGCGCGGCGAAGCAGCAGTGACTTGTGCCCAGCACGCAGGCTCCAGCCGCGGCACGTTTTCTTTCACTAGCCCAAAGGCCGCCCAGGCAGGGTGGGGGGCAGCCGAAGAGTGTCCACCGGTCTCCACTTTCTTCCGCTTCTTCAGGCGGGGCCCCTCGGACTCACCGGGCCCTCACACCACCTGGTCGGTGCGTTTGCTGCGCCACACCACCACGCCGGTCATAGCGATGGTCAGCAGGATGGGCACTGCGATGAGCGGGATGAGAATTTCGTCTGGGGGGTCCTGCCAGTGTTGCCTGTCCACGGAGCAGTTCTGGAAGAACCGCCTGTGGACCCCAGCGATGAAGCTCTCCGCCAAGGGGTTGGGCCAGTAGCAGCCCACCACGTTGGTCTCCACCTCGGTGCAGTTGGTGAAGCTCTCATAGTACCTGCGAAGGCAGAGGGCTTGACCGCCTGGCTCCTCTGCCCCTCCTCACTCTGGCCCTGACCGCCGGGAAAGTGGGGGGCAGTCCTGTCTGGCTGCCTGCTCTCATCATGGCCCCAGGCCACAGGGGAAGGCCTCTTGCTATGAGCCCTACTGGGCCTGCTGGGCCAGCAGGGTCCATCTCCCTGGGGTCCTTGCCCAGAGGTTCTCTGGCATGGCGACCCCATGCCCTGCTTCCCACCTCTAGGCCTCAGCCCCGCTTTCATCTGCCCCTGAGCCCCCTCCCCAAAGTGCACAGCCATGTTCTACTCCCCTTCTCAGGCTGCCGCGTCACAAACTCGATTCCCCTCGTGCCCACCCCAGCAGACAATGACCTCTGCACAGAGCCTGGTGTCATCGAGCCCAACTCCTGGCCCTCCCATCTTAAAACAGAGGCAGCAGAGCCCAGCATGGAAACTCTGAGGCCATGAGCTCCCCAAAATACACCTCATGCCCCGTCCTGCATCTCCTATGTCATCCCTGCCTCATCTTGGTCATCCACATCCGTCACCTGCTTCCTATGAGGATGTGAAGTCCCAACGCCCAAGGTCTGGGCCAGCACTTCTCAGGTCTTCCCAGGGGGTACTCTGGGCCTGGCTTCTTTTTCCAAGACCAAGGGATGTGTGGAGTCACAGCCACTTGGACCTGCAAGGCCCTTGTCACCTAAGGCCACTCTATGGGCCCCCCGGGGAGGAGGTCTCTCTGAGGCAGGCCGAGGGCCAGCGGCCTCCCAGTTAAGTCAACCTGCCCTCATTTACCTGGTTTGGGGGGGGGGGTGTGTCCCACCTGTGAGCCCAGCCCCGGCCTGTCTTCCTCTCAGAAGTCACCTCCCGCAGCCCCCATCTGACAGGACACGTGGGATTCCCCCCGCCCCAGGGTCTTCCTGTCTGTGTCAGTCAACCGGAAAGGGCACTCAGCAAACCACCCATGAGGAGCCACGTCCATCCAGCGGGCTGGCTCTGGACGGTCCTTGAAGCCAACCAAGGGCTACAGCTACCAGGACCCAGAGTTCAGCCCCACGGCCAGCTGGCCTGGGATTAGCAGCCCCTGGGGGTGGTGGCCTAGGCTGGCAGCCATTATCCAAGGTGCTCTGGTGAGAGGGCTGGTCAGACACGTGCCAAGGTGCACCAGCTCCACCACTGCCCACACTCTCTTGCAGCTGGCAGAGTGCTACATGCAGGACAGGTATGGGAGCGGGAGAGGCTCCTGCCCCAGATCCCCACAGGCACCAGGCCCTGTGGCCCCCCTCCTCCCTCCGGTGCGGACCCAGGGCGAGTGGCCTGGCCTGAGCAACAGGAAGGAACTGCTTCCTGCAAGGAGCTTCCTGTACAGAACCTCGTCTCTGCCTGGAAAGGTGGTGGGAAACGGGGCGGCTAATCACTCAACCAGGTCTTCGTAGTGCCCACTCCTCCTGGAAGCCCCGGGCAGTTTCCCAGCCCAGACGCTTGGGTTGCTGGTCAGGCACACGTCTGCCCTGCACCCCTCAGCTAACGCAGACAAGGGAGAGCCCCACGAGGCAAAAGAGAGCGGGAAGCAAAGGGTACGGCCTGGAATCTGTGTGCAGAGCCGTGATGTGGCCCCTGGGACATGCTCAGGCTCTGGGACACCTCACCAGGCAGGTCCTCAGGCAAGCCCATCACTCCCCAAGACCCACCGGAGGGGGTCTGCCACCCCAGACAGAGCCTCTAACCGGACACCCTGCCAAACCCCGACCCACCCCAGGGCTCAGTAGGGCTGAAACGAAGCAGATGGAACTTGGGGAAGCCCCACGGTGGACAGCAAGCCTGCAGGGGCTGGGGAGTGGTGTGTGGCCCGAGTGACCCCCATGCACAGAAAACAGCACAGGACAGCAGCTTAGGGGTCAGGATGAAGAATCAACGTCCTTCAATCCCAGCTAGGCCACTGACCATCTTCCTGGCTTTGCCCACATTACTTAGCCTCCGTGAGCCTCAGTTTCCCCGCCTGTAAATGGGGTTCATAATTCTTATCCGATAAGGTGACTGAAAGGACCAAATGAGGTGAAGTGAATACACTCCTGGCAAGTGCCTGGCACATAGTAGGCGCTCGGTGAGGTCTCGGGGTGAGCCCCAAAGGCCAGGAACGGGGCAGAGCTGAGCACAACGCCTGTCTCCGTGGATCAACCTACGGGGCCAGGCACAGAATGCCCACACCTGGTGCTTCCCAAGAACGCTGGGAAGTGGCTCCGAATTTTAATAGCAAACGCTTTCAGGATAAAAGACACAGAAAGGTCGGGCACTCAGGCACATGGCAAGAGTTGTAGAGGCCAACTCCCACATCCCAGCATCCCGCCCTTCCCTGGGCTGGGGAGGCAGAAGGCAGGGACGCACACATTTGCACACACTGCTCGCAAGCCCTGTTAACTCGCCAGCCCAAGTTCAGGCTGGAGATGAAATCAGGGTGTCCTTCACAAGGAAGCTGCTGTTTGTGTGACATCACAGAACCAGGGTCACGACAGGGTCTCTGCTTCCCAAGCGTCCCCTGGTCACCCAGGGCCTCCCCATGTCCTCCCTTCAGTCTGGCTTCCAGAGCAAGAGAAGACGCAGCCATAGGCCAGATGGGAAAGGGGGATGCAGAGGCCGGGAGCGAGGCAAACCGCCCCCGTCAGACTCCCTCTCCCGCCAGGCAAATTTCCCTACTCAGGTGGAAGTCGGCCCCTCTCTCTCCAACTCCCAGACCCCACTCCTGGCTGCCCCCTCTGCTGTCCTCAGGCCCCAGGGCTGGATGTCTGATCTCCTCGCTGAGGCTTTAGCAGATGACAAAGGCACAGGATGGGAAGCGCCCACCTCATCCTCCCTTACCCCTGACCCCTATGTGTCCACTCCAGGCTTGGCGTCCAGGCCAGGCTCAGAGGACAAGAAGAAGCCTGGCCAAGCCCCTTCCCGAGCCCCCAGCCCCCTTTCCCAGCAGACACAGAAATTTCATACCGTTTTGTTCAGCGAACAACTATGTCTGCGAGGGGCCTGCCACTGTCCCCTGGGGAGTTGGGCATGGAAGCCCCTAGAACAGCCACTGGGGGCAGAGAGCACAGGGGCCGGGGTGTTGGAGGGGAACGGGCTGATGCAACTGAGCAAATCCGGGGCTCCCAGGGAGGATGGGGCCTCCAGGCAAGCACGGCTCACAGGACAGTGGGAGTCTGCAGCGGCCGCCAGCAGCGCACCAGGTTGAGATGGCCAGGTGGGAAGTGGAGGAGGGCGGGCACAGCCCGTAGGTGATTTCTGAGGAGGTGAAAGGGCCACCTTGACACTTGATGCTAGGTGTGACCAGAGGAGATCAAAAACCTCAGGAGCTTCTAGAACGTGGGGCTCTCTGTGGTGAGGCACTGCTCCCGCCACACCAGGTAGAAACCAGCGGGGTTCAGTTTCTCTGGGGTCCACTGGTCCTGACTACAAACCCAGCCCTGGCCGGTGCTGTGAAGAAAACCCAAAATGACAATTTCCACCCAGCATGGACCGTGAAGAGAGGCAGGCACGCCAGGGCAGGGCACTAACCCAATTCAGGAAGGACAGTGGGTGTCAGGGTTTCCCAGAGACATGACCTCGCTCAGAGGAATGGGGGACACACAGCCTGGAGTGTCCAGTTTGGAACTGCCAGGGTGGTCCGTGCGGGGAGCGGAGGGCTGTGAGGCTTGGAGTGGACCTCGGAGCATGCGGGGCACAGACGCCGAGGGCAGGATGTGGGCAGGGCAAGGGCGGGGCACGGGCACACGGTCAGCAGGATACAGACGGGCTGTGGGCAGAGGGTAGTCCAGCCACGGGCAGGGCATGGGCAGGGCGTGGGCTGGGCGAGGGCAGGGCATGGGCTGGGCGTGGGCAGGGCATGGGCAAGCCACGGGCAGCGCATGGGCTGGGCGAGGGCAGGGCGAGGGCAGGCCCAGCGCCTGAGCAGGGACACTCACACGATGAACTCCGACAAGTTGCACCACTTCCAGACCTCCACCTTCTTCATCCTTTCAGCAAAGGTCTGACCGCAGTGGGGCAGCATGGCCAGCATGCGCTTCTCATTGCAGCCGCCCACTGGGGGACACTCCCCTAGAGAGGAGACAGCCATAAGCACTGCTGGAATTGCTGGCATGAGCCTTGAAGGGCTCCTGCTGATAACCCTCAAGGCCAGCTGGGGTCTTCCTCCTTCACCTTGACCTCCATGTGACCTGGGGAGGTTGAAGCCAGTGCAGAAAGAGTGACCCACTTGGAGGCATCCAGGAGACAGGACCCAGAGGGCCCGTGGCCTCCCAGGGCGGCATGGGAAGAAGCAGGTAAGAGGACAGCAGGCAGAGGGACAGGGGTCCCGGGAGTGGAGAGGCTGACGGCTGACGGAGTCCGGGCTGGGTGGGGGCAGGGAGCAGGGGCGACCACTGCACCTCGAGGGTGAGGGCACCCGCAGCATGTCCCAGGAAGGGTTCTGCGAGTCTGATGACAGTCCCAGGCCTCTGGGCAGCGACAGAGGCCCCTTGACAGTAAGGACTGCCCACCCTGTCAAAGCCACCCCCTTGAACTCCAGGAGGCCAGGGGCTGAGGGCTGCAGGGTCCAGCAACAGCGGCCAGGCCTTTGAACACTCTTGGGGTCTGGCAGGACCCCTGCCCCAGGATTTCTCATCACTCTTCCTGAACTCTGCCCCTAACACTTCCTGTGCCCTCCACCCCCAGAGAACACCCTCCTCCCACTGGGAACACCCGCCTGTCTGACCCCCCGGACCCCCCCCCCCCCCCTCCAGGCATCCGATTTCCAGGGGTCAGTTCCCCCCCTCGTAATATTCCCTCTCGTGACCCCCAGCTTTGGCTCCCATCATATAATCAAGAGAAAGCCCTGCTGTGCATGTCCTGGAGTACATATGTTGTATTGATATATGTATGTGTGTGCATCTATGTGTGTGTGTGTATCTTTGTGTACGCTGCCCTGCCATGTGTGTCTTAGTGTGTGTGTGTTGTGTTCACATCTGTGTGTGTTGTGTGTGTAGGTATATCTGCCCTGCCATGTGTATCCTGACGTATGTATGTGTGTATGTATATATGTGTACTGCCCTGCCGTGTGTGTCCTGGTGTGTGTATGTGTGTTGTGTGTATATGTATGTCTGTGTGGTATGTGTGTTTGTACATGTGTGTGTCTATGTGCACGCTGCCCTACTGTGTGTATCTGGTGTATATGTGCCTTTGTGGGACTCACAACTTCACAACTTACAATAATCTTACAATAATGAAGACAGTGTGGTACTGGCATGAGGGTAGACATATAGATCAATGGAATAAAATTGAGAGTGCAAGAATCAACCTTCATTTTAGAATAAAATTATTTTCTATAAATGTACCAAGACAATTCACCAGGGAAAGAATAGTCTTTTCAACAAATGGTGCTGGAACTACTGTATATACACAGGCAAGAGAATAAAATTAGACCCTTTCCTCACAATTTACACAAAAATTAACTCAAAACATATAAGAGAGCTAAATGTAAGAGCTAAACTATAAAAATTCTTAGGATAAAAGGAGAAAGTCTTTGTGTCCTTGTATAAGACAAAGTCTTCTTAAATATGACACCAAAAGCACAAACAACAAAAGAAAAAGACAGAAAGTGAACTATATCAAAATTTTTAACTTTTGTGCTTCAAAAGACACCATCAAGAGAGTAAAAGACAACCCACCGAATGAAAGAAAATGTATGAAAATCGTATTTCTGATAAGGGGCTTGTATCTAGAATAGATAAAGAACCCTTATGACTCTATAAAAAGAGAGCAATGACCCATTTAAAAATAGGCAAAGGATCTGAACAAACATTTCTCCAAAAATATACACAAATGACCAATAAGCACATGAGAAGATAATGAACATCATTAGCCATCAGGGAAATGCAAGTCAAAACCATAATCAGATATCACTTCACACCCCCCAAGATAGCTATTATCAAAAAGATCTAACAGAGGTGGGGGGAGGGGAGGGGAGGAAAAAAAAAATATCTAACAAATGTTGGTGAAGGTGTGGAGAAATTTGAACCCTCATATGCTGCTGGTAGAAACGTAAAATGATGCAGCCACATTGAAAACTAGTTTCCTGGCAGTTTCTCAAAATGTTAAAAATACAATGACTATATGACCCCACAATCACACTACTAGAGGTAGTAGTGTACTTTCTTTCCATAAAAGAATGAAGTACTGACACGTGCTACAACTTGGATAAACCTTGAAAACATTATGTTAAGTGAAAGATGCTGGTCACAAAATACCACATATTGTATGATTCCATTTAATGAAGTCTGCAGAATAGCCAAATCTATAGAGGCAGAGTACAGACTAGATCACTTAAGGCCGAGGGGGTTGGTGGAATGGGTCATCACTGCTAGTGAGCATGGAATTTATTTAGGAGTGATGAAATGTTCTCAACCGGATGGTGGTGATAGTTGCAAAACTCTGTAAATATACTAAAAAACATTGAACTATATACTTTAAATGGGTGAATGTGTGGTATGTGAGTTATATCTCAAAAAAGCTTTTTTAAAAAATAAAAGGTTTTTCAAACATTCAAAAGTTGAAAGAAGGTATTACAAGCACACTCAAACTTCAAGTAATATGTAAGAATTTCCTTTAGGGAGAAGGAAAATAATATCAGAAGTAAATATTGATCTTCACAAAGGAATGAAGAGCACCAGAAATTGTAACTCTAGGAGTAAATATATAAAGTTTTTTTCTCAATATTTAAATCTTTTAAAAGATAACTGACTGTGAAAACAAAAACAATAACGTACTGTGGGGACTTCCCTGGTGGCGCAGTGGTTGAGAATCCACCTGCCAGTGCAGGGGACACGGGTTCAATCCCTGGTCCGGGAAGATTCCACATACCGCGGAGCAACTAAGCCCGTGAACCACAACTACTGAAGCCCACGCACCTAGAGCCCGTGCTCCACAACAAGAGAAGCCACCGCAATGAGAAGCCCGCGCACCGCAATGAAGAGTGCCCCCGCTCGCTGCAACTAGAGAAAGGCCGCATGCAGCAACGAAGACCCAAAGCAGCAAAAAATAAATAAATAAATTTATTTAATAAATAAATAAATAAATAATGTATTGTGGATTTACAACTTAAGTTTAAATAAAATGTATGATAGTGATAATATAAAGGGCAAAAATGGAAGGTTCTTGTGCTATACGTGAATTGATATAATATCATTTAAGAGACTGAGTCAGGGTGACCACGTGAGGTGTCTGACTTGGCCGCACACCAGACTCACCCAGGCCACAGCCCGGGCCCTGAGACACGGACCAAGAATCGGTGTTTGTTAAACTGCCCCTACGCCCACATGATTCCAATGTGCTGTCAGAGCTGAGAACAAGTGGGAAGAGCAATGCTTGCTCACAGTTACGTGCACACAGGCACGTGGAGATCTTGTGCAATGAAGATTCTAACCCCGCAGGCCTGGGGCACCAAGATGCTAATCTCTGACAAGCTCCAGGTGGGTGATGCGAGACCCAGGCCCACACTCTGCAGAGTAAGAGACAGAAAATGGGAGCGCTGAAACCAAGAGTCAGAGGGGAGTCAGACAGCCCCGTGGCTCTGCTCCCCAGCCCAGACACACTTACTCTCCTCTCTGAGGCTCAGTTTCCCTATCTGGAAATGGGGCCGCGACACCTGACGTGACACCTCCTTGCCCAGCTTCCCTCCACTTCAGTACTGACCAATGTCCACTGAGTGCCCTGTCCTAAGTGTGGTCCAGCTCGCCGAGCCCTGCAACAGCCCGACAAGACAGTGCCACTGTGACCGGGGAAAGTCATCGACCTGCTCAGTAACACGGTAGGGGGCCAAACCCAGGTGCAGCCCTGGGTCCAGGGCCATGCAGGCCCGCAGTTAGTGACTTTAGGGAACGCAGGCTCTCAGGCTGAGGTGGAGGCAGACGATGAGAAGGCAGCCTATGCTCCTTTCTCCCACTGGCTGCCCTGTTCCAAAGGCATCTTTTCCCCGCAGCTCGCTGACAGGCTCCCCACCACAGGCTCTGAAAGTCCACCTGATGTTCTCTACATCCAGCCCTTGTACCCATTCCTGGGCCTGGTCTTGTCATCCCCTGACAGTATCCTCTCAGTATCCTTCATGGCTGTCCTGGGCTCCACCTTCCTCCCACATGGGCACGGGCCCGGCAAGTCTCACACTGTTCGCCCCTGCTGGCTGCTGCCACTCCTCCCAGCCATGGCCCGACTGGACCTGGCCCGTCTAGACCACCTGGACCACCATCTAGACCCAACTGAACCTGGATCCATGGACCTGGATGACCTGGACTTTAATCCTCTGGACCTGGACCCCCTGGACCCCTTGGGCCTTGAATACCTGGACCCTGGACCTCCTAGATGCCCCCTGGACCTTGAATACCTGGACCCCCTGGACCTCTTGGACCCCTTGGACCTGGACCCCTGGACCCCTGGACCTGGAACACCTAGACATCCTCAGTCTGACCCAATGGCCACCTGTCGGATCACTGAGACCCAGCCCAGGGCTTTCTCCTCCTCCCCTCCCACTTCTCCCCACCACTGGAGCCCCTTCCTCTTCTTCCTTCCTGCTTCCTCATGGACAGAATCTCCATGAACCCAGAATCTCCATGTGTCCCAGAATTGCCACATACCCAGCACCACAGGGGCCTGGCCAGGGCAGGTTGAGAATGTGTCATCAAGGACCACGTGACATCCTAAGGCAGGTTTCCTGGGATAACTTCTCCCACCCATGGAGGCAGGCGGGGGATGCTGTGAGGATGCACAGGGCAGGCACCATGGGACACCTGTCTGATCAACCACAGGTGCCCTCCGTGAGGGGGTGGGGAGACTGGTAATTACGGCACCATTTCTTTTTTTTTTTTTTTTTTTTTAATTTTATTTTTGCTGTGTTGGGTCTTCGTTTCTGTGCGAGGGCTTTCCCTAGTTGTGGCAAGCGGGGGCCACTCTTCATCGCGGTGCGCGGGCCTCTCACTATCGTGGCCTCTCTTGTTGCGGAGCACACGCTCCAGACGCGCAGGCTCAGTAGTTGTGGCTCACGGGCCTAGTTGCTCCGTGGCGTGTGGGAT